TGTGTAGTTTTAGAGGAGCTAGTCCCTTTCTGCGTCTTCATAAAATGTCTCAGCAAATAAGAGGACTTTTATTAATCCCAAGAGGATGTAGATAAGTGGTGACACAGTAATTATACTGTTTACTTTTCTCCATTTCTAAATGAAGTGTCTGCAGTGTTGGGGCGTTTATGGCTTTTAAACTCACATGATGTTGGTAAAGGTAAACATGGGCAAACCCGCCCATGCCCAGCCTCTCTTTCAGCTCCCAGTCTCCGCAGTTCTGGTTCTGCCTGAAGGGAGGCTTCTCCATTGTTGCTAACATAAGCTGGACCCAAAGTGCGGAAATAACGTTTTACATGACAGCAACAAGAGGAACAACACAGCTGGACCAAAGACCAAACGGCGCAAACTGATCTCCACCTAGCTTAATGAATCTGTCAAGCACAGGGACATGACTACATCCTGGAAATGCTTGGCTAATGTTAAGATTACATTGATGTAGATGTGACCTTAGTGGCCTGTCTTTTAAACACACGGCATATTAAGAATCATTTATGAAAACACAAACACACACACATATCAATAATGTTATTTTGTTGGCTAACCAACAGTAGCCCTTCACATTCCAGAACATAGACGGAGTCCGTCGCTAGCTTTAGGAAATGAAAGCTTCTTCGACGCCAGTTAAGTGGCGTTTTTTTCAATGTTTTCGTGATGAGCTGCTGGTAAAGCGAGCTTCGAGACTTACGTCGTGTTGCTATGAAAGTGTCATGAGCCGTTCTTCCGTGGAAATGTGCGCTTGTCGTGTTGTTTTCGGGTCAATGCAGCACCGTGAGAGACTGTGTACTTTCCTGCGGGACGTCACCAGAAACCCCGGCTGTGTTTCTTGAAAATGAAACGGGGGCGTGTTCAACAACACAACACAACACTGCGTTCAAAAGACGTTAAAACTTGTTTTGCAACCGCCAAACAACGATGTTAAACAAAAGAATACTATCATATAAGAATATACATTTTAATCATGTGACACTTTTGCTTCTGTCAGCAAGCAGTAGGCCTGTTTTAAAACATTTTGTCAGGAGATGAAAACTCAGATTAGGGTTAGTGGTGGGGACATAAAAACTCAGATTAAGGGTAGCGGTGGGGACAAAAAAAACTCAGATTAAGGTTAGTGGTGGGGATATAAAAAATCAGATTATGGGTAGCGGTGGGGACATAAAAACTCAGATTATGGGTAGTGGTGGGGACATAAAAAATCAGATTAAGGGTAGTGGTGGGGACATAAAAACTCAGATTAAGGGTAGCGGTGGGGACAAAAAAAACTCAGATTAAGGTTAGTGGTGGGGATATAAAAAATCAGATTATGGGTAGCGGTGGGGACATAAAAACTCAGATTATGGGTAGTGGTGGGGACATAAAAAATCAGATTAAGGGTAGTGGTGGGGACATAAAAACTCAGATTATGGGTAGTGGTGGGGACATAAAAAATCTGATTAAGGGTAGTGGTGGGGACATAAAAACTCAGATTATGGGTAGTGGTGGGGACATAAAAAATCAGATTAAGGGTAGTGGTGGGGACATAAAAAATCAGATTAAGGGTAGTGGTGGGGACATAAAAACTCAGATTATGGGTAGTGGTGGGGACATAAAAAATCAGATTACGGATAGTGGTGGGGACATAAAAAATCAGATTACGGGTAGTGGTGGGGACATAAAAAATCAGATTAAGGGTAGTGGTGGGGACATAAAAAATCAGATTATGGGTAGTGGTGGGGACATAAAAAATCAGATTACGGGTAGTGGTGGGGACATAAAAAATCAGATTAAGGGTAGTGGTGGGTAGTGTTGTAGTCAAGACTGCCCAAACCGAGACCAAGTCAAGACCAAGACCAGAGTTTATCGAGACAAGAACAAGACTTTTATTAGGGGTAGTGGTGGGGAAACTCAGATTAGGGGTGTGACTACACTTAGCTCACAAAATGAAATGATAATCCTCATAAACCCCCCAAATAATAAGAAAATAAAACTTAGATATCGAACTCGTACTCAACAAAGAGAAGCAAGAACATTGATAAATATGATAGAATAACACAAATATGATATATTTAATGGCTTAAAATAATCATTTTGGTCATTTTCTCTGCTTCACAATTTAAATCCCTAATGTGGTCAGGCACTTGGACCTTGCCGAGCAACTACCCTTGCTACACACACACAGCCTCACACAGATGAATGGTGAGTGATACAAAGTGAAACGTGAAACTTTAAGTTGTTGTTAATGACTGTTACTGGCTAAACTTCCGCTATGTTTCCTTGAGGGAAGCCAGAGTGAACATTACCATTATTATCTCTATAGTATTTTAAATCAACATCAGTCCCCAAAGAATGAGAAGTGAAAAAGAAAGTGAAAACTAAACTTCATATTATATTTTAGGAGAGAGAGAAGTAAGGGGTTTGCAGGGCAGCTGCTTCTGAGGTCAGTAGTGGTCTACAGGTGTGTAGTGGTACATGTATCAGGAAATGTGGGCGGTTTTGTTTTCTTCTAACATTGTTGGCAGGTCTTGGCACCAAGGCATAGCCTAAGCTAAATTATTTTCTCCTTCTATTGGCTGTAATAAATTAAAGCTAAGCAATACATGAGCATATACTTACAGATATACACACATGAAAATGTAATAAATTAAAAGCAATCATACATATATGCACCCACACATACAGAAATAATTACTCCAAATATTTTATTCCTTCCACCATCAGGTTATTAAATTCAGACAGTAGCCACTTTAAATAGGGTTAAACAGCTTATATGATGAGCATTTATTGTTTGCTTTAGCTACTTAATAGCCACCTGGACAGTTTAATAATACATTTAATTTATATGTTGATTATAATTTGTATTAATAATCCACATCTGACTATTAACTAAATCTGTCAAAATAATATAATGGAGTAAAATATATAATATTACTCTCTGAGAGTGGCATAAAAGTATCACCAATGTGTATTTAAAGTAAATAAAGTAGCCTATTTGTGTAAATGCAGTTAGTTATTTTCCACCACTGTTTGTTTGTCATGTTCTTGCTAAGCCTTACTTGAACCTTAAGTAGCAACGAGGGTAAACTATGACTGTATATTAAATTAGGATATTATTTTGACATTTCATTCTAGCCACACAGAGTGTTCAGGAATCTAAAGTCTAAATAGATAATGTCATCCTAAAACTCAGCCTTCCTAAACTCACCATTTAAATTCCTTCTGAGAATTTCGATCTATCACATACAGAACAAGTCACAACACCATTGGTTGGAGTAAGAATTCAGATAATTTACTCAAGTCTATGTGGCCCTGAAGTCCCAAAAGATTAACATGTAAAACATGTCTGCTCTACAGACACCCTACCGGGGCTCAGACAAAAACAAAACAGGTTAACAGTGTATCACTTGGCTTTTAATATTAGATTGTTCAATGGCAAATGTGAGAATTTGCACCACCAAAGCACAATATCAACAAAGTGCCAAAGTTTAATTTCAACACCTTATTATACTGTATTTTGGATTATATTGTGCTTACTTTGTAGATATTCCTAAAAAAATATTTTTGTAGGTACGTTTGATTGGGGCCCAACAGCAATTTCTTAGATCTTCTCAGTTTAATCTGGCCAAAATACAATCAATACAATGTGTGTTTAAATAAAAATTGTTCTGAAAGTGTCAGTATTCTGTGTGGCTACTATTATTTTCCAGCGCTGCCTTAACCCTCTTGGGCATGGAGTTCACCAGAGCTTCACAGGTTGCCACTGGAGTCCTCTTCCACTCCTCCATGACGACATCACGGAGCTGGTGGATTTTAGAGACCCTGCGCTCCTCCACCTTCAGCTTGAGGAGGCCCCAAAGATGCTCAGTAGGGTTTAGGTCTGGAGACATGCTTGGCCAGTCCATCACCTTTACCCTCAGCTTCTTTAGCAGGAGGTGTGTTTGGGGTCGTTATCATGTTGTTATACTGCCCTGCAGCCCAGTCTCAGAAGGGAGGGGATCCTGCTCTGCTTCAGTACGTCACAGTGCATGTTGGCATTCATGGTTCCCTCAATGAACTGTAGCTCCCCAGGTCCGGCAGCACTCAAGCAGCCCCGGACCAGGACACTCCCACCACCATGCTTGACTGGAGGCAGGACACACTTGTCTTTGTACTCCTCACCTGGTTGCCATCACACACACTTGACACCATCTGGACCAAATAAGTTTATCTTGATCTCATCAGACCACAGGACATGGTTCCAGTAATCCATGTCCTTAGTCTGCTTGTCTTCAACAAACTGTTTGCAGTTGTGCATCATCTTTAGAAGAGGCTTCCTTCTGGGACGACAGCCATGCAGACCAATATGATGCAGTGTGCAGCGTACGGTCTGAGCACTGACAGGCTGACCCCCCACTTCTTCAACCTCTGCAGCAATGCTGGCAGCACTCATCTGTTTCCCAAAGACAACCTCTGGATATGACGCTGAGCACGTACACTCGACTTCTGTGGTCGACCACGGCGAGGCAGGAACCTGTCCTGTTGAAGCGCTGTATGGTATTGGCCACCGTGCTTTTTCAGATCCTCAAAGTGTTCTTTGCCATGAGGTGCCATGTTGAACTTCCAGTGACCAGTATGAGGGAGAGTGAGAGCGATAACACTAAATTTAACACACTTGCTCCCCTTTCACACCTGAGACCTTGTAACATTAACGAGTCACATGACACCGGGGAGGGAAAATGGCTAATTGGGCCCAATTTGGACATTTTCACTTTGGGGTGTCCTCACTTTTGTTGCCAGAAATAAAAATGTTTGGGTCATTATTGCTGATACTTGAACACGTGATCAGCATTCAAATGTTGTAGCTGGTAAAGATCTTAAATTAAATCTTAAAAATCTTAATCTGCAAAGTACACACCTGTAAAATAAATGCAGTGGAGCTCAGAAATGTACTTACCTGCTGTAAATATACTTTGGTATGTTCCACACACAATGATGTTCAGACACAGTTAAGCTTCCAAAACACTTTTATTGTCATCTTCTATGCCTCCCAAAATGAGAAGCTCACAAACAACATTTTCCTTGGTGAGTTTTAACAAGGCAGTGACACATGTAGCTCACTGTATGTGTAGCATAAAATGAACATTGCCTTACCTGCACCAGCCTAAAAAACACTGAGATGGATCAGATCAGACCTTTACATGTCAAAAGATTTGTATGAGCTGGCTCGATACTCTAAAACACAACAGCATACAACAGCGTTAAATATAGCCATTTGCTTCATTCACATTGATAGAAAAAAATGACCATGAGCTCAAGGACAGGAAAAGAAATGTTGACATACCTTATATATTAACCCTTCCTTTAATACTCTAACCATAATATAAATGAACAGCAGGCCATAATATCTCATGCTTTATTTACATGTCACATTCAGAAATGAGGCTTTCGTGGGCAGAGATGGAAAAAGCACAAGTGCACATTTAAAGGACAGTTTGCCCAAAACTGCCGCAGGCATGCACTGCTGCTTTAACAGAGGTATTCTACCGCTGTGAACACAGTACAACAGGGTGACTTCACAGAGCCGTCACAAGGGGTACCAGCTATTCCTATGCTAACCAGTGCCGCGGAGATCCTGCAGCTGCTCTTTGATGTGAGTGGTGACAACACATGGAGAGAGCAGGCGGGGATGAGGTGTGTGGGGGGGCTTTGTCAAGGTGGAGGATCTGAAGACCTGCATCCGTACTGTAGGCTATGGAGCGTATTGAGCCTGTGCCGATAACACTTATCAGTAGGATTACACTATTGCACTTTATTTAGTTAACAATCTGTGTTTGGGGTGTTATTTCAGTGCAGTCTCCAGTTACTTTTTAATTACTGGAACTGGGTGAAAAGAAAAATGTTCCAATTAATCTTGATTTTCATGGTTCAAGGTTCGTTTATTTATCATATATAACACAGGGGTTGCAAACACACACACAAAGAAACAGAAAATTATTATATATAATTATTATTATTTTTAAGTTAAATGATCCAATATCAGTTCTTAAAATCAAATCAAGAACTATCTTTGTGGTGATTATTTCCATTACTGATGAATCTGCTGATTATTTTCAGAAAGTAATTGTCAAGTCTGTGACGTGTAAAAATAATGAAAAATGCAATTTTCGGGAAAGCATCATCTTTAAATTGCTTCTTTTGTCTAACCAACACTCTAAAATGGAGCTAATATTTGGCATTTTGATTAGAGAAAGGGGAATAATGACAAGATGCTTATAAAAAAAAGAGTCAGTGAAGATGAATTTTCTTTTGATAAATGTAGATATGAGAAAAAAACAATAAATTGCTCAACAACTACATTTTCATTAAAACTGGATAAACTCTGTGTTCCGAGGAAGATCGTATGAAACGTTCGAAAGCTCCAGAACAGCTACTGTGGGGACCTTTAGTTTTTGTCAAATGTGTACATTTGTGCTATATGTATAGGCTGTGGTTGCTTGTTAGGGATGAGCCGTGTGTAAAATGTCAAAATGTCAGTCAAAAGATCACATACATGATAACTGCTTAGTCTGGAATAAAAATATTTTTATTCCCCGGAATAAAAATATATTTAAGATTCCAGGATAAAATCTGAAAAGTGCTTTAAAATGTATGCAATATTGGTATTTATCTGATGTAACTGCATATTCAAAAATGAATCAGGACTTTCTGAATCAAAACTTCTCATCCACCCCTGAGAGGAAGATGAATGGCACTCAACTGGCTGTTCTTTGACAGTTTGGCCACATTACAGACAGCAGATTCAAACATTATAAATAAATTTGCAGCAATAATGTCAAGTTAGATGTCAGCTGTGGCCACAGTATCCACATAAATGTTCTTTAAAAACCACCAGACAATAAAGAGATATCAGTGAAATGACTGACGTGTGAACGAAAAGAAAGATGGGAAGTGCAGACAAGAAAAGCAGAGGATGAGATGAGCTTTCTGTTTCAGCTCTTAACTGCAGGCAGAACGTGATTAAGAGGCAAACACTATGATATGCTTAAGCCTGAATATGAAATCATCTGTTCTAAAAATCAAATTCAAACTACACATTTAGAGCTAACAACATGGAAACTGAAGCTGTATGGAAGAAGCGTCACACAACTGGCTCCTTTTGAACAGCCGGCGCAGTCACAGCATGCACACGCCAACATTCAGCAAGACGGACGTGTAAACACACACTCAAACAGACTTGACATCCAAAGTTAATATACGCAAGTGTCGTCTCATTTAGCCCTGCAGTATCCATCCTCATCTTCAGGTGAGTGGGTGTTTCCATGCATATTCACTGCGGGTGCAGCAGGTGTGATTATGGCTGAATAAACTGATCGTTGACAGCTCTCCCTGCTGGTCGGACACTGGCACTGCAGCTGCGCAAGGTGTCATTTTTAAAGCCTGAGTAGAAAATGGCTATACATCAATAACGCTATGACGTGTTCATGACTACCAAAATCAAATGTTCCAAACATGATATGGTAATTAAATCAGTCCGCCCACACCCTCCTTAATGAGGAGTTTCATTTCACACTTCTTCTTTTCTTTTTTTTTTTTTAATTCCTCACATTTTTCATGCATCTCTGACAACAGTACCAACCCTGATCCCTTTAAAATCATGCTATAAGGTCATAGCAAACCATGCGCTGTCTTTGGAAAACTTCCCACGGTAGCTGAAATCCTCACACGCCACAACCACGCCTCAAACACCCTGCAATCACTTACTAATCTTTGATACGTACACAGGCGTTACTATATTACTAATATTGTGCTGAATTATTACCAACATGTAAGAAAAAAAGTGAACAACACATGATTATCGTGTAGCGCTTTTGGGACTTACAAGAAGAAAATGTCAACTTTGAGTGCATCTAATGCATCTTCACAACAGTGTGTTGAATATATTGTAAATATACCGTCATATATCCTACAATATAAGCGGACAGCTGATGGAGCATTATATACAACATATCCTGAAGGTTTACAAAGAGTGTGGGTTACATAATTCCTTTTATATTTTCAATATCATAATTCATCGTACACATGACACACACAGGTGAGATAGGTTCAACGTCAACAAACAACTGTAAAATACTGTAAAAATATTGAAAAAACAAGAACATTCAGGGTCTGCCTGGTGAGTGTTGAAATAGGGTTTATAAATGAGAGACTACAAGTACAGACAAAGATTACACACGTTGGTTATGGCACCGGCATGAGAAAAAGGACTACATGACCCCAGAGAACAACTTTGCTGCTCTCAGTTTTGCCCTCAAAGTAGTAAAAGGCCTAAAACAAGCTGTGCTGGATGCAGGCATGCGGATAACTGGATAAAACAACTTTCAGCCGAGAAATAGAAAGAGAACAGAAGCACACCACGGGACAGAAGCGAAAGCAACTTGGAAAGAGATCGCCTGTTCAAATAGAGCAAAAAAAGACCACTCTTGATGAGATGCGGTTACATTGCTGCACATCAGGAGGACTGTGAACTTCTACTGGCGTTGTTGCGTCTAATTGGCCGTCAGTGACAAGAGAAAAGAGGAGGGACGAGCTGCACCAAGCTGCACCACCTCATCGTATTGTATTCTTTGGCCACACCCTCAACACTCCATCATAACATGTTGTGCACAGTCTGTGGATTCAACTTGGTACCAAGATCCGTCAAAAAACGTACAGGAGCTAGAAGCTGTAATGTCCGGGGTCCTGTGTGGAATGTGAACACACCACGGTGATGTGGCAAAATAAGGAGCTGGAGTGTAATGGCTCCCCAAGACCTTGTAATGTTTTACTAGTCCAGTAACTATTACAGCGTTTCAAATCAGAGTGGCGGTAGCAATTCAAGTGAAATCAAATCGTCTAAAATGGGATGTTTTTAAAACGAGCGTTTGGTCCCAAAACTGAGTTAGTGGTCAAGAAAAAAGGTGGGAGAACGTGGCGGGAGAGGTGCCTTGAAAGAACAAAAGGGGGAAAAAAAGATGCTGGATGTCCTGTCTGGTGCCCTGTTCAATGTATAAGCACCCTCTTTATCTCACTGCACAGTACAGTCGGCTGCTGCACCCAGCGTGCGTTCTCAAAGACACCTCGTCTCTGCAGATCTGTGACCTCCCAGCCGTTCCTCCCACCTCCTGCACCAACATCCTCGCTGGTGTTTCCCAGCCCTCCTCTGTTAGACGAGAAGATTGGGGTGCCGGGTAGGGCGTCATGGTTGGGGGAGGGCGTGGAGTAGACCCTCACTCCTGCTCCCCCTTCAAGCAGAGCTCCAAACCCTCCTGGATCTCAAATAAAAACCTTTGCAGGGAGACAGCCTGCCGCTGGCAGTGCAACGCTGTGCCGCTCCCGGCGCCCCCGCCCCGTCTCACTTCTTGACGGCTTGTCGGTAGCTGTGTCTCTGGCCTTCCTGTCGAACCTTGCTGCTGCAGCCGCTGGCTTTGCTGCTGTTGCCACCGTCCCTGGTGCTGCTGGCCTGGCTGATCTGACTGGCCTGGCTGCTGTCCTGCAGCGTGGGGCTGGAGTGAGCCCTCTGCAGCCCGTTGTCCTCCAGGAGCTGGGACTCGAAGACAGACAGGTCATCCTCTCCGCTCCGGATCTTAGCTCGCAGCAGCATGACATAAGTCGCATACCGTGTTTTCTATAAAAGTGTGAGTGTGCAGGAGAGACAGTCAGAAGACATTTAGCATTGGACAACTGAGAGAGCTGTAGCACTGTAATAATGATTTAATGCCTCACTGCCTTTCCCATTTATTTCTTTGTCCGAGTCCAGCTCACCTCAAACTCCAGATACTCGTCTCGCTGGCGGTACTCTTCCAACTCGCGCCCTTTGACCTTGCGATCAGGAGGGTAGGAGCGCAACTCTGTCAGTTCAGTGGCGAGGGATCTGAATCGATGTTCATGGGATTTTACCTGCTCCTCCTGTAAGCATAAGGTCAACACTGACATCATGAGGGAGAAAATTATAACACCTGACTTCTTCAATTTCTATTTTTTAAATGATTTTCCTATTTTACTCACACTGCATTACTGACCCCCACAGCCACCTGTGTACGTGTTTTCTCCTCTCTATAAGCCGTAGTAAAACTCACTCACAGCATCATGATTAGCTAAGCACGCTCCAATACTTTGCTTACAGTCACGTTAATCCCACGACGATTGCAAATCAGAATGAGGCAACAAGTTAAAGGCAGAATGGACGGACGGAGGAGCGCTCGTACTGTGTTAGTTATTGTTTACCTATTGTGTCTTCCCAGTTAACATGTGTGTGAAATCTGTAACCGCCCAATTAATTCTTAAATTATGGCTACTGAGTCAAAAGTGGTGCCTATTCAGTGTCTGACCAACTGTGAAATATGGTCACTATCTCTCCTTCCTGAGCTATGGTGGCCTGAAAACTTTTTTTCCCAGGACATTATGACATTATGATAATCCCAATCAGTTCTTGAGTTATGGCTGCAAACATATTTGTTAAGGTTTTTTGAGGTCCAAAGTGTCACCAAGTCAATGTATCACCAACTGTGAAATATTAATTCTTGAGTTATGGCCACAAGTCACAGAGGCAAATTTCCTCCAGGTGTTCCTGATATATGGCTTTCACAAGAATGGGACAGACGAACAACCAGAAAACATTATGCCTCCGACTCTGAGGCATAAAAAGATTGTTTTACTGAGCTCATATTCACTCATGGCTTTCATTGCTATCAGCCTGTCTACTGGTGTTACTTATTAAATGTGAAATGAAATGCCTGCATTCATAGCCACTAGTGGCCACCAGCAATACATTACATTTGCGTTAACTGGAGTGTTTATTCATAAAAATTTAATTCTAATTACTCTGCCATGATGTTATGAAAAATGATGTGTGTCAGCTCCTTTTGAAACAGAACCGATCATTATTCTCAACTTTGAAAGATTTGCATCGGCTTGCTGTAATGAATTTCACAGGATGCTGGACTTGACTCAGATCAGGTTCAGCCCCCTTCAGGACATAGCTGTTAACATTAATATATACCTCAGACAGTTTGGACATCGTCCCCGGCAGCAGCGGCCGGCTGAACTTCTTCTGGGAGCCGATGGCTGCTGGGAAGGGAGGGGCTGAGAACATGGCGGCCACCGCGTTGATCCGTGTGATCCAAGACTGCATCTGCTCCGCGTTCCTGCGACGGATAATACACGCCCACACATGAGTACACCATGCGCACATATAGACACACATGCACAGAAAACACACAAAAGCAATTACAAACAGATCTTAAACTCCAAAACACAACGAGTAGGCGCAAACACACTTATCAGTTCCTCTACATGGTGCCCACATCAGCACATGGCTAGCTTACGACATCAAAGGGATAATTGTCAGAGAATGCAGCCTTGCTGTTGATAAAAAAATTATTTTGCACCCAATTAATGCATGAGAGAAAAGGGCCTGTTTTACACTAACAGACCCATTAGGGGCCCATGAGAAATATCAGATTGAATCAGACAGCCTTGCTTAAATCCCCGGGGAGAGACAGAGAGAGAGAAAGAGAGATATAGCGAGACAAAGAGGAGAGAGACATAGAGAGAGGGGTACAGTATCTGGGACAAATGCAAGCTGCAACTGGAGCACAGAGCCTGTCCTCCTGGGGGCTGAAACATGTGGCCACTCATGTGCCACTTCCTGGATCCTGATAACACACACATGCACACCTCCACCTCACTCTTAACATTCACTGTACCTCCTGTTCAACATGTGCGTGTAGCATTGAGCAGCATGAGTTCTGCACATGTGCACAGCTGGCTCTGCATGTTGTCAGCTGAGGTTGAATACTCTGCCGACAAACTACAGATATACTACACGGCCGAAAGTATGTGGACACCATAGTATTACACCCATATGTGATTGCTGAACATGTCATTCCTAAAACTCTTCAGGTTCAGTGTTTTCATCAGATGTTGGAACCTGGCTGCAGGGATTTGCTCCCATTCAGCCACAAGAGCATCATTGAAGGTTGAGCTTAAGTTCTCCCAAACAAAACTAAGAAAACCACTTCTTTATGGAGCTGGCTTTCTGTACAGAGGTGCTGTCATGATTAAACATGACAATGACTGGTCGTTATGCAAGGATTGTCCATTAGACGAGAGTGGATCATGAATTAGACACCATCAGGAAAGCTGCAGAAGATGGCTAACGTAACACAAGTGATGGAGGCAAAACAGTCGATTCAATCGTCATGAAATATTCTTTTTCAACTGAGTTAACCGTGATTCTTATTGAATGAAGTGTCTCCTTTGCCATGCCTGATCCTATGAAATGTCTGCATTCAAAAAGGGTGATGAATCACATTTGAAATTAAGAAAAAATTAGAACTTAATACAAAGTAAATTTAAAAGTAGAAAGACTTTTACTCAATTGCACCCACGGGGATTATGATAGGGGGATCCAATCACGGATTTTCTTATGATTACAATATCAGTCAGGACATTTTATTACATTGTTAGCCAAGTTAAGTGCAAATTTTATCACATTTTCAGGCATCAAAAAATTGCTCCAGACCAAAAAGTACACAAATTAACATTAAGACTGGGATGTCCACATACTTTTGACTGCATACTGTCGTTTGGACCGAGACTACAGCCCAGAAAGAGAAATACGGCTCAAACTGTGACTCAAGATAAGACAAGGGTCCATCTCTGCTGCTGGGTTTAATTAAAGTTGATTTTTTTCACATTGGATTTGGTTTAAATTTTAAGGTCTGCTGCAGATAATGTGCAACTGTCCATGCACCCATGCTGTATACTGTAGGTGTGGATAACTGCAAAGTTATTTATATATTATTTCAGCTCAGTAAGAAAACAGGACTCACGGTGCTTGAAAGAGATAGACTCTCCAGTCAGCAGTTCGCAGGTAAAAGACGTTGGGCCTCTTGCTGTAGTCTGAAGCCTTCATAGCCAGAGAGTGGTGGATGGACACGGCGTTCTTCAGGTCCTCCTCAGATAGCTGTTTATCAGGCCTGTATTCCCCCTGCCATGACAAATATAAATAAGAAATGAATGTATGATTACCACCAAGGGGTCTTATTACTTATTAAAGTTGTTGAGCTGACTAAGAACATACTTTATTGGAGAAGTGGCGAGAGGGTAAAGGGTTGCAAACATTAGCATTGCATTGTTTGCAACCAACCATGCTGAAGAAAACTGATAATCTGAGAAAGTGGAGGGTGATTATGTTCCTTCTATGGAATAACATTATTTCAGATGCTCATTTGTAACCAAAACAAGTTATTTCCAATACCTCACTTGATATTTTGACACCAAAGAGAAGAAACAGAAACATAGTAAAAAAACAAACAAACTCCCTCCATGATAGAAAGAGAAAGTATCAAGAATTTTCCATGAATTTCCATGACTGGAGATTTTGAAAGTAAGACTCTACATTTAGAGTTCAGTGATTTCACACCAGAAATAAAATAATCATAACAACAAATAATGTACAGAAAAACTTCTTCTTCGATGAGGGTAAATTTGCTATAAAGTAATTTAAAGTGGGTATAGTTTGAAATTACTAGTGCTGGTACAATAGCAATATAATAATATAAAAAGTTTTAGCAACAACAACAAATCCACACTTTTTTTCCTGATACTCAAAAGAAGCCAGAGTTCTCAGATTCTCAGATCTTAAATGTTGTGTAACACAGCAGAAGGACAGCATTTTTGTCGAGACAAATTAGAGCCTAAAAATGTCGATTTAATTTAGATTCAAATAAACAAGACAGAGTCTATCCAGACCGGACATACCGAGCCCAACAAAACAAATCTACGGCGTCACTACAGCCTCATAAATATAACATCCACTTGAGCCATACAGACCAAAGCCAAGTCCGTATGGCTCCTCTGCACAGTGCCGGGACCTGGATTATGTCATAGCACTTTTTAGACACGTCAACAGGAAATGGCCTTATTTAAGTAACTTCCTTTGATTGATTGCTTGATGACTCGTCACTGCTAATATGTTATTTTGGCTGTGATATTTTGTAAAAGGCACTTCGGGGTTACGTGTAGGCAGGTGACGTGATACAGAAGGAACATTTTGTAAAGATTCTCCTATTGTTTGTTTGGCATGAAAGTAAAGTGTTATTTTAAAGGTTGAATAATAAATATCAAGCAGTAGTTGTTCCTTACACATACTTGTGTGACTTACTTTTTGCAAATAGAGAATAAGCCCTTTTAGGATGGCGTAGAAGGTCTTCCACCCTCTCTTCCCTCTTGGTGCTGTGAGGAGGAGACAAAGTGTTAACATTACACCTGCAGGTCATAAACATATGCAATGGACCTCTCCCCAAATTTTGGATTAAGAAACAATACAAAACACGTGAATTTTAAAGCCAAATAGTCTGGAAACTTGTATTGACTGGAGTTCCACTTCATTAAATCCAACTTTTGTGTGAATTAAAAAACTGTACTGCCCAAGTCCAAGTGGCAAGAAAAAAACATTAAATAGGGTGTATTTGAAGATAATCACAACATCAAGGCAGGGGATTCTTATGATGGAGCCCACAGAGCATGCTCAGTAGAGTCCTTCTCCAGCTAAGCTGCTTGGGGCATGTGCATCTTACTGGGTTTAACCACAATTTACCAAACACTTTCTCTCATGGGTCGGACAGAACATGTTCACACTGACAGTGAAAGCAGAGATGTTTGGGTTGATGACTGTTGGCATTTGCCCTCTTCAACAAATAGAAAGCCAATGTGGAAATTATTCAGTCTGAAAATACTGGTGTGAAATTGGTTCTGACACTAGCTTTGGAAAAGCGTTCCCTGGTTGGTGGGTTGTCAACATGCCGCTCAGAAGATGAGGATTTAATGGAGAATGAATCAAAGTGAAAGATGCTTGTGAATTCTTCCTTGTCTTTCATTGACATGAACTTTGTTGTTGGTGCAGCTAACAACACACACCAGTCAGTGTGGTTTTGGCGACTAGCAGGTTAAAAAGACATCAAACTGTGTTTTTGTTCAAGTATTTCAGATTACAAGCTTTGTTTCAGCTGCATTTCTGTGACTAATGAAACAGTTTCTACGGGATCTCCTGGGTCAAAACTGCTAACACGCAGTTGAAAAGTAAAACCCTACACATGCATTATAGTGTTATGCAGGTTTTTAAGGGAAGTGCAATAACGGCAGCTTCCTTACTCTCACCTTTGATCTGGGTTAATCTATAATAGTCTTGATACTTAATAGAAGAAGTATTCACAACTTGTACTTAAGTCAATGTAGCAATACTATACTGCAAAAATACTACACTATGAGTAAAATCCCTGCATTCAAAAGCTTACTTAAGTATTATCAGCAAACTGTACTTCAAGCATCAAAGTAAAAGTACTTATGGCGCAGAAAAATGTTCCCTGTCAGTGTTTCACTATTATATCTGATGTTTCTGTGTTAATATTCCTGTTTATTTAAGGCTGAGCTCATTTGAACTTCTTTATATCCAGCTGGGTAGTTTAATCTACAGCAAGGAGTGTACAAGTACCTTGAATTTGAACGTTACGTGTTACCACTATGTACTAGTGGTAACACACGGCACAGTACAAGCATGACACACAGTATTACTGAAGATGTGTACTGCAGCATTTTAATTAGAAGAAGATGGATTTATTCAACTGAGCAAACTTTATCTGCTGATGACGATCACTAAATGGACCTTGAGGTGAGATTGTTTTGTCAGCTTCTTTTTAAAAGGGCAAGCATGAATTTTGCAACTCAAGATGTAAGAAGGGTAAGGTCTGAGGCGTACTTCTCTTGCCGTCCGAGTCGGCGTGGACTTTGCGGACCAGGAATCCATTCTTGTACAGCAGCGACCCGGACGGCTCTGTCTCGTCCGTCAGGGGCTTCTTACTGCTGCCCACCCGCTTCATCGATCTGGAGGCGTTGGATTCACACAGGCTGTCCCCGAGCTCAGAAAACGACTTCCGCAGCTCTTCCTCGTCGCTATGCAGACAAAAAATAAATAAAAATCAACACTTATGTGTCCCGTCTAATTAGCAACGCGAATAAACACATCATCATTCATCCTGTCCATTTGCCTCTCACTTCATTACACAAAGAACAGCACAGGACAAGAGGTCCACAGATTTCACACGCTTACTGGGAAACTTTCATTTCATACAGTACACATGAGTAATATCGCCGTCCAACTGCTGGTGTCTTGGCAGAGACTTTGTTGCACAAGACATTTACAGAAGCTGCCTTCAAAGCTTTAATTGTGTGTCTTCCCCTCGCTGTGCTCTGCTCCTACTCTCCTGAGAAGCCGTCCACTCGCCTTGATCAAAAAGTACCACAGCAAAAGAGTGACACCATCCATCTTGTTCCAGCTTCGAGGTGAAAAACAAGGGCATCTTTACCCAGGGGGGCAACTCTTCTCTGAAACCAGATGCATGTTGCTCTTCCTCCTCTTGATGCTGACTGAACCTCATAGAGGTGAGAAAGACTATTGTTTCATGCAACAGAAATTTACAGCACCGAGAAAGGGAGAGATTCCAATTCCTAAGAAAATCAGGTGGACACTTTTGTGGATAGTTTAAATCTCAAATAATAATAATAACAACAAAATAATAAATTAAACTTGTAAGCACTTTTGTAAGTACTCAAAGACACTTTACAGAGTGAACGCACAGGGTGAAATCATTTCAGTGATACATATTATTGTAAACAAGTCTTGTTATTTAAAAATGAATCTTTAAATGGAGGGGAGGGAAAAGAAAGAAGGGTAGGGATCTATAAAAGAAAAAAGAAAAGTAGTTTTATTTTAACAAAACATGGAGCGAAGGGAATGAGGTTAAGTGGGGAATGCAAGCTTGAAAAGGTGGGTCTGTTTGAATGGTGGCAGGGTGATGCAATAAGTTTTATTTAATTAAATTAGTAGAAACAAGGATTAATAGAGCTAACCATCCCTAACAACGCATCAACACAACAGATAATCGCAATCTTAATTGAGGAGAAGTCCTTTAAATGCTCAGAAAGAAATCTGAATGTCTATTATTCCTTGTCAACTCCATCTGCTGAGGTAGTTTGTGTTTTACAATCGAAAGCTCCACAACAATGGGCTTTGCGGTGAGACATCAATAATGTTAATTATAAAGAAAACAATACTATTAATATTGACAATATATTTTTTAAATTTTTTATTCTTACTATCTGATCCAAACCCTTGCTGTTAACTGTTGTCTTACAGAACCAATCACAATGTTTGTTTTAAGGAACATACGGTTAGAAAACCCCCTGCTTCACATTAATTATCTTATTTCCAAGTTTATAAATCTCATTAATCTAAAATGCTTACATACTCTTTCACTAGCGTTAGGTTGGAGACCCATTTTAACTGTTGGCTCACAGAAAATAAAAGCTTACCCAAAACTAGTCCGACCGGCGGTGAGATGTGGAGGAAAGTCACACAGCGCATAAAATAAGCACAGCAGAAATATCAGGCAGATCGGACCACCGTGTTTAACGATTTTTTTGGTAAGCGATATATTAATAAACTACATATGTTTTGGTATAATTCAGAAAAAAAACTAACTTTATTATGATATTGTTGAATAGCTGCTTTTAGCTACTACACACAGATGGATGACCTCTTGCCTTTGATTGATTGGTTTCTCCACTGCACTTTTATTTCATTTGTTGGCACTTATTACAAACTGTGCACTATAACTGTATATCTGGTCTATTCCATTTATATTTTCACTTCAAGTTTTTAAAATCCTAATTTATTTTATTCCTGTTTATTGCTTTTTGTTTTTAAATGTTATTCTAATGCTTTTCCTCGCCCATGTAACGCATTTTGAATTGCCTCTGTGTGTTGGAAATGTGCCATATAAACAAAACTGCCTCGCCTAAAGCTGGTCTAAATTGTAGGTTGGTCCTGTTTCGTTTTCTTTCTTCCCTCCTCCTATTCTGAATCTAAAGCTCTCAAAGGCACTGATGGTGAAGACGTGGTGACAGAGCTAGAGTCATGATCTCTCTGGTGGTGAAGTGATATGCTATTTGTTTTTTATGCAAATAGGAAAAAATGGAAATGTGCTGGTTTCTGAACCATCTATACTCTTCTCTACTATTGTGGTGCTGAATTAATGGTTTTCTTTCACTTCTTTAGAGTTAAATGCTCCTTTATGTGTTAACGCGTACTAGCCTATGTTAAAGGATAACTTGACCACCTTTCATTATCTGTAATAAAAACATTGTACTTGCCAATTTACAAGGGAGTTATCTAAAGTCTCTATCCAATAAATTTTACACTTATATTGATGTTTAGAGGATGAAAATGTGTTTATGTATTTCTCCTCTTAATTTGTATTTATCTTATTATTTATCACTGTTTCACCTTCAAAATCTATCTATACTGTGAGTTTGCTCACAACCTGTCTGATCGTCTTGGTACTTGGTTAATTACTTCGTATGTACAATGTAATCATAACTGTGGGGAATGACGGGCAAAAACAAAAAGAAAAAAGACGTTAACTGGAATAAACAGACTCGACCTTTAATTAGAAATTGGTGATAAGAAAGTGAGCGGGAAGACTAAAGCCTGTTCTGAAACACTGAGCACTGACATGTCTCAGAATATATGTTTTTGTGCAGGGTGCACATCGCTCATTAGAAACACGCCTTTACATCTTTGTAAATGAGGATTCTGACGAGCTGCTGGTTTTCTGTCTGCCTTCGACTGAAGCTCCATTTCTTGCTAACTACTCTCACTGTGTGTGTGTGTGTGTGTGTGTGTGTTTGTGTGTTTCCCGCAAAACACGTGTCTTTATGCAAAAAGTGAACAGTACATTTATATTTTTGGTTTTATCCCAATGTTTTTTAGTTTTTACCTCATATTCTTGTCTATTAACCCCTTTTTACAATTTTTTGTGTTTGTTATTACTGCTTTATTACCATTTTTAAACGTTTAATTTTAGTTGACTTTAGTTTTTATCTTATATTCTTGTCTACTAACTGCCTTCTTTTATTTTATTACCATTTTAAAACCTTTCAAAAATTTAATTTATTTCAGTACTGTTTTATTGAAAAAAGACCATAACACGCTGGGTGCTGAATCCTAACATGAATATAATATTAAACAATATCATGGGATTAGTGATTTATTCCTGTTTTTTAGATGTTGAATCTTTATTTGTGTAACCATCAGCAGTTCTTTTCATCTGTTTGTTACGTAATTTCTTGGAAACCTCTGTTGTTTTTCAACTACAGAATATAACATGAAGATATATTACAGCAAATCATAAATATGTGTGTATTTGCTGTATTTGAAAGACTGACAATGCTTACTATACACATTGCTCAGTAGTTCTAATCCCATTCTCTTCTAAATTATCCCTTACAATGCACTGTATGCATTATTTTAGTGTTTTTAAAGGGATTTGTCACATTAAGAGATGATAGATGCTCCAGGCAACAACACCAAAGTGTCTCTTCATCTGCGTAGTGAGGTAACATGGCAATTCCACTTGTTACCTCACCAGGCGGCACCCATGCAAAAGTTCAGCCTGAAAATAGAATAATGGCTGGATGCCGAACCCCCCCGAGACCACGCTATGAGTAACCAACAGTACATAACAGCAGTTAACCCCGTGCAGGAGCCAGAGAGAGAAAGGGAGGCGGAGACCGAGCCAATGAGCATGTAGCCTGTTGCCTGGTAACTGCCGGCCTGCCTGAATCCCATTTTACACAGAGACAAAGTCGAGGGGAGCTGGAGAGTGGGGGGTGGGGGAGAGCTAGAGGAGTGAGGAGACAGAGGAGGGGAGAGAGCAGGAGAAAAAAAGACAAAGCTGATCCTTCTCAGATGGCAGAACATTATCTACAATGATATGAGCGAGAAAGGAAGAAAAGGAAAGAGGAGGGGAAAGAGTAAGAAATGAAAAAGAAAGGAAAGGAAGGAAGGATAAAGGTGGAGAGGAAAACAAAGAAAAATACAGGAGGGAAAGAAACTAAAAGAAAATAAAAAGGACAGGAAAATAAAGGACAGAAATAAAATAAAAATGCCGTAAAGAAAGGAAAGAGGAGAGGAGAGGAAAGACTTAGAAAATAAAGTAAAAGAAAAGGGAAGGATAAAGTGGAAGAGGAAAAAAAAGAAAAGAAATAAATAGGAATGAAAAGAAACTAAAGGAAAATAAATGACAGGAAAATAAATGACAGGAAAATAAAGGACAGGAAAATACCGTAAAGAATGGAAAGTTGGAGAGAGGATCAGAGGAAAAGAAAGGAAACAAAAGAAAATATGTAACTGAGAGAAACTGAAAGGAAAAGGAAATAGAAAGGAAAGGAAAGGGTGTTGATGCAATATGAAGAAAAGACGGTTGAACAGGTCGGCCAGTTGAAAGAAGTGCATGCTGGGTTTTCTGCGCCAATGGAAACAGATTAGTTTCACCTGTGACAGTGAGTCATTGTACCAAATGGCAAAAACACCCAAAACACAGTCAAGTGAAAGAGGACATTAATTCATCCATACACACACACACTCTTGTACACGACAAAGCATTTTCTCATTTGCAGAGGACGCACTTCTGCTTCTTTATTTTACCTTTATGGCACACAGAAAAGAGCTTTTTTTAAATTTCTAGAATTTTATGTAGATGGCGGCGCTAATAGCAGAGATTTAACCTTATTTAAATTGGCAGAATTTTTTAATTAAAACTATCTGATTGATTGTAATTGCAGATTGAAAGATTGCAACCTTTTCCACACTAGAAAGTCCGAACCAAGGTTTTTGTAAAATTATGTACATTAGATATGGTCAGTATAAGTTTCACATTGCATGATATACCTACGTGCTGTCATCGTCACCTGAATGATCTGCGTCTCCCTATAGTTTATAAATACGTCGTTTGTGCTGCACGTTATTACGAACCATATTTGCGTTTATTGTGGCAGTGACCTCTAGTGGCCGTACGATGGTAGCAAAGCAAGAAGTCGAGTGATGTATTATAAACAAAGACTGCATATAAGAAGTGGACGTAGTCATCGTGACATCACCCGGATGTGACCATATTTGGATGAGACGGTGGAGCTAACGGTCGTGTGTGGAGCTAGTTAGCTTGCTTAGCTAGGTGCATCTGTAATTCACGTTAACTGTCATTTTAACAGGGGCTGACAATTTTGTTTAGCGAACAAGAGTCTTAAAACTAAACGTACTCACCAGAGAAAGTGAACAGCCAACTCCTAACAATCTAACAGGTCGCCACGGTAACGACTTGTCAATCACAGATAATCCCACCCTGAAACATACTCTGCTTTCTGGTCTATTTTCCTCTAAATGGGACCATAATTTACTAAATGAATGCTGTGTTGAAGAAGACTTGAAACTAGTAACTGAGACCATAAACTCATCAGCAAAGAGTTTACTGAGGTAATAAATCAGGTAAGAAGTAGCGTCATTTTACCATTATTTTTAATGGAGCCGGACTTTTTTTTTCAACCAGAACATTCGCCCCCTGCTGGCCGTTTGATAGAGCGCAGGTTTAAGGGACTTCCGCGTTGGCCTCGCTTCTCAGGTCGGAAGCTTCCCGCTTGATTATAAATCGAAAGAGAAAGTAAGGAGGTGGATGTTCAAACAGAGGACTTTCACACAGGAGAACAACGTTCGAGTCCCATATGAAACCAAATAAATTGTGAGATAATTTGAGATTTAACTGAACTGGTATAGGAAATGCTCGTAGTTTTTGGGAGGCACTTACAAATAACCTATTTTGTCGAGTACTTGTTGTACCAGACCGGTCTCCTCCTCTCCAACATGTGCTACCACAGCTTAGTTTGTTTGGTTTGGTTTAACGAACCAAACCATGCTCTTCGTTGGACTATGGTTTTGTTTTCACACCGGTAATTCTGGTTTTGTAACCAAAATGAGGCTTGTCAAAAAGGGCCCTAAGCAAACAATATCATAAATTTGTAAATTGTTTAAATGTATTAAAAGCCAGGTTTTAATACTCAGACATGTTTCAGTAGGTAGTGGCTCACACACATTCTGCTCTCTCCTACTGTAGGTGAGAGGTGGCGGCAGCAGACAATAACAAGACAGGATGATTAGAGCCATTGAGGGAGGAGGAGAAAAGGGATTAGCAGAATAAAAGGAATAATAGAGCAGATGGGTCCTGACTGTCCCTCTCGCTCGCACATTCTCACGTACAGCACGCTTCATCATCACATCCTCTGCTGAATTTCTGTTTCAACCATTTTCACCCTGTTTCTCTCTCCAGAGACCTGCATCTTCCCGTATCTCCGACTTGTTGCGTCTCCCTTTCAGAGCACAATGTTCACCACCACCACCACCACCACCACCTCTCCCTGTGCTCTCCACCCCCGCCTCTGAATGAGAAAGCATGTGTGTGCTGTCTGTGCGCGAGAGAGAAGAACATGTGGGTGCATCCAACTGCACTGCTGAGAGCGGCCATGTGCGTGTCTTTCTCTGTGGGGGTGTGAAATAACATCCATCGCTGTGTTTCTCATCGGGGAGCATAAAAATACACGTACTGTGCGCCCACAGACACACACCTGTAATGAGATGTGCATGCCTGATTTCACATACAATTTGTATTCATATAATCACAGCAAGAGGTTTGTTTTAGTGCCTGAAAATCTGGGGGTAACTGAGTAAACCAATGCTGGAAAAGTTTATATATAGAGCATAATAGAATATGCACTCTTGTTCTGTTATTATCATTTGCAAATGCACAAACAGATGCTTCCCACCAAGACGTGCACAAGGACAAACAAAAGCAGCGTTTACAGCCTCAGAGTCGACCCAGAGCTGACGTGTATCTGTCACAGGGTGTGCGTGTCCTTGTGTTGCGATCTCTGTCAGTGACTTTGCAAGTGAAGAAATGTCCTCTGTGTGATGAAATATGCATCAACTAAGCAAGCAGGGTGTGAACGTGGTGGCAAAAGCGACACTCTGCTCTGCCTCTGAATAACGGGGTTTTTTTTTCAAAGCAGAACTCCACCGCGGACAAATTTTACTCTACTTCAATGATCTCGGCCAGCTGAAATATTAAAAACGAGCATGTGCAAGTCTCTGCTGCCAAAACCAGAGAAAAAAAGAAGCTAGACTGCTCTCTTAATCTGTAATTACATTTGTTTGGAGGTGGATTCTCTCTTTGCTTGACGGTGTTTACGTGTCTCAAAATGACATCTTTTTCTATCCCCGCGTGGCCTCCTATGCGGTGGCAGTGTTTAAATAGCTGTCTATATGTCATTGGAGATGTTTGAACTGGATTGCCTGCCTCTCTGTGGATCTCCTCCTCGATCTGCTCCTCTGACCACTTTTATTCAGCTGCTTCGGGAGCGCTGCTGCAGCTATTTTTGGAGAGGTAGTGGGAGACTGTGGTCACACCTTTGTACAGGATGCAGGTAGAGAGACATTTAAATGGAGTTGCCTCTCTCTCTCTCTCTCTCTCTCTTAGTCATCTTCATCTTTCTGCGTTTTTTTCATGTTCACATGTACAGAAGCCAACATGTATACACGTACATACATCTCTCTGTTAGAAAGTGTGTGTGTGTGTGTGTGTGTGTGTGTGTGTGTGTTTGCAGCTGAGAGCAATGCGGTATCCATGGTGCTGTAACTATGGCAACAAAGCTTGGAAAGCTAGCGACTTAATTGGCATCTCTGAGGCACGCCGGAGCTACGATCCAGAATAGAAACCCTTGACACACTAATATTTCCTTCTCATGCCAGACAACACTCACGTCATTAATGAGGATACTAACAAGTTAATCAATATTTCTTATTGTTTCCTGCCCTTCAGTGTGAACGTGTGTGTGTGTGTGTGTGTGTGTAGAGCTTTAAATGCATTTGAGTTAATCACAGACTAGGAGAAGGACAGAAACAGTCAGCAGGAGAAAATAAAGAAAACAGAGTTTAAGGTGAATCATATCAACATAAAGTCGATGTAAAATTACTTACAGCGTCCACTGCAGCTTCTGATTCTTGATTGAGTTGTAGAGAGCCTGCAGAGGAAAACAAGAAAATCGAATTTTCAGACATCAAATGGCAGCTATACTCAGCTGTGTTCAATTGATGATTTGATCAAATATTGCAAGTGTATTATGGTGAAAGCTGCACAGTAAGCAGGCCGGCTTCATTCAATAAATTGTACTCAGAGAAATGTCATCCCTTTTCACCGCCCTTTGCCTGAGCTTAACTCGTTTTCTTTTGCCAAACAATCAATCAATGATCCAATCAGTAAACAACATCAGTTAGGGCTTCTCAATGGATATAAGGGAAATCAATCAGCGCATAAATAATTTAGACTTTGACGCAAAACCAAACGACCAGGGGAAGAAAAATTAAGTTACAGCTGAGGAACGTGAACACTGAACAGAATTTAAAAAAAAGAAAATACTAAAACAGGACGAAGACTTCAGTAAAAACACACAGCTGAGCTGGCTTTACACATTTAAGTTTGTCTAGTGCTGAATTAATAAGTTGATTAATTGAATAGTCAATCTACAGAAAATGTATTGCCAAAAATTCTATCAAAGTTTTTGGACCAGACCACACAATTTGAAAACATCACCATGGGCTATAAGAAACTGTAAATTTTATTTTTTAACATTTCATTTTATAGTGTATAAAATATTGATTAATTAAATTAATCAAAATGATTAAGCATTAAAAAAACAATAGTTGGTTGCAGTAGAAGCAGTGTTGGATGGTCTTTTACTTCGGTAAAAGTAGCAGTGTTACAGTTGATAAAGTTAAAGTCCTACATTCAAAAAGACAGTAGAGTTAGTAGTATCAACACCAAAATGTACTCAAGTACCAAAGTAAAAGTACTCCTTTTATTGTGTAGTGGAAAAGGAGCTTTGTAGCTGGTTAATGTTGAGCTACCTTACTTACTGCTTGGATGTTTAATGTACATTTTATAGTTTCTTATAATATAATCATATTTTGTGCATCAAAATGTTATTCTGTAAAGTCAATAGTAGTCAAATAAATGTAGTAAAAAGTAAAAAGTACAATATTCACAAATCAAATGTAGTGGAGTAGAAGTACAAAGTAAAATAAGAAACCTCAAATTTGAACTTCACCAGCTATGGTCTAACGCAACAAGAGATACTGGATTACTGTAAAAGGATAGTTACTGTATTAATGTAAATTGTGAAGTTAGCTACATATATCACTAAAAAAGTATTGGATGTATCTGCAGGCATGCCTTGGCTAATATCTATGAACTTGAATTGGGTTACATTTATGTGTTTTCAACCTGTTTGTTTCCTTCTTTGTACCAGTTTTCACCATTTTGTGGGTCATTGTTTCCACTATTCTACTTTCATTATCATCATAATCAAAAGAACAAAAACAGCCTAAAACAGACCTACAGAATAACAGCAGGGAGAATGAAACAGAGTTTAACGAGGGAGCTGGTCAGCGCTGCGTCTCTGCTCTGAAAGCCTTTAGACACACAGCAACTTTGGCTTCCTCAAAATCTGTAGCGACAGTCAAGACACTTCTCACTCGACCACCCCCGAGTGACATTGGCCTGTGCGAGCTGAATGTAGTAACTCAGTTTCACAGCCGATTTGCGGTGGAAGAGCAGGGGGACAGATGACAGCGTGAAGCCATTAGACTGGAGAGTTTAAGAGGCAGATCGAGGCAGTGGACGCAGCTGTTGGACAGCTGTGACGGATGAGGTGATGGAGAGGACCCTTACAGGCAGTTCATCACCACCTCGTTCACCTCTGAATTCCTTGTAGACCACTACTATAGGATCTCTCTAACCACAACCATAATTGCCATGTGGGGAAACAAACCTCATGCTGCAAATCAATAACTGCCTTTGATTCATGAACTTACTAATGGTCTTCTCTTGAATTCTGCTGTTTTAGACTTCCAACCTTTTCTGAATATCATCTTGTTGCATTGTGACTTTTAATCAAAGGAAATTGCATTTATAATGAGGTTTGATTCGGTGTGTCTGATCAGGTTCATTTCCACAGCTTTCTGTGAAACTGGGCCTAATCAGAAAAACTTCCACAGAGTCGTGAATATTAATGACCAGCCAGCCAAGACACATTTAGTTTGGGTTTCCATATGCGCTACTGTAAAATCTTAGCATTCAAACTATGTTTCAAACTAAATGTGCTCATACATTTTACAGAAACAGACAGCTGAGCTTCCTCCGACTGAACTGCTTCTGTAGCACAAATCCACATCAAATATTAACAGTGAATTTGTAAGCTGTAAAAGTTTACTGCTCTGTCACAACAGCAACACATTCTGTCTACAGAAGTTCACTATGTTTAAGTGTAGAAAACGTACAAGATTGGACAACAAAACTGGCATTTACCCTGCAAAAAAAAGACAATAAAGATCTGGCACATCATGTGAAGAAGAAGAAGGAAGAAAGGAGAAATTAGCATATACACAGTCAGTCAGTAAAAGAGTGGTGACTCATTTTTGATTCATCTGCAGAATATTTTCTCCATTTATCTATAAAATATAAAAAATAATGCTCAAAGGTGATCATCAAATTAGCTTGTTTTGTCCGAAGAAACGATCCCAAACCCAAAAGATATTCAGTTAACTTTCACGTAAGACAAAGAAAAGCAGCAAATCCTCACAAAAGCAGCACATTTGAAGCTGTGGACAACTAATCTGTATAAATATGATATGAATCTGATTATTTTTCTCTTGATTGATTCAGCTCTAGGCAGTAATAATGGTTTTAACGGTGGCACATGTTATCATCTTCTTTGTCTAGTGATTAATGTGTTCATATATTTCTATATTATGCAAAAGCAACTGTGTAACAGCTGAGTTTAACACTCAGTTATTGCAGGACAATATTCTTCATTTCTGTAAATCCTAAGGGAACACACAACACCAACAGCAGGGGGACTATGTGGATTTACAGATAGAAGATTAAAGGAGGCAAGTAAATAAAAAAAGGTAGATGGAGGTGGGGTATAAATCAGAGCTTCATTCAGACTCATTCAGTCTGGAGGCTCATTGAGACAAGGATGGATGTTCGTCACCTTCACTTGCTTCATCAACGTCACCGGGTGCTGGCAAATGAGAGCCATTAGCCTTGGATGGTCGGCTTTACACAATATGCTGAACTGAGCTGTGGTGTACAGCCAGTCAGGCCTGGCAGTCAACCAATATCAAACACTCTGAAGCTTAGATGGTAAATCAATGAAACAATAAAACAATAGCTGTTTTAGGATTTGTAATATGCGATAATGGTTTGTTGTGAGTTGAAGATTGTAAGTTAAACAGAGGAACCTACCAGACCATCTGACAGATTTGGCCAACTGGTGTTGATTGACAGTGAGGTATTATTTTATGTTATGTGGGGTAAGATATCATTTGTTATGACATGTCATACTGGTATGAAATAAGAATTATTCAGATTACTTTTGAAGATCATTTTGAGAATCAGTAGCACTTGTGTGAATGAATGAATGACGTGTTCTCAGTGACTTGCAGGAAAGTAACAGGAAATAGCAAACCGTTTTCAGTACCTTCCTCCTCTTTCTGGCCTGTGGGTGATTCTGTCCGTCCTGAGCCTTGCCCAGCAGGTCTGGAAACACCAGGGGTTTGAGTGAACGTGAGCGGGGGGTTCTGGGATAGCGGAACGGGTCCATCATTCTGAAGTCCCTTCCGTAGCGCACAGTGCAAAGAGAGCGTGAGCGTAGGCGCCCTGTTGAGTGCAGGCTGTTAACACCGATCATGGTAAGGGGACGATGCGGAGGTGCATGGGTCACACAGAACTGGGCTTCAAGTCCAAAAAAAAACGCTGTATTTAAAAAAAATCTGCCCTAATAATTCAGTCTTTCTTTTTGAAAAGTTGATCCAAAGAGATAAAAAATAAGGTTCGTCTGATGCTGTTCAGTAGGTGCTGATGTGCCAACAGACAGCTGGATGTGAATTTGCCTGTTACAGAAAGCAGCCGGTGATCAGCGGAGACCGCAGAGGGAGGCAACACATCATCAGGCTGCTGTCAAGGCAGTCAGTGGCATCGGCGGACCATGCTATCAGCAGGCATCAAACTCCAACAGTCTTGTCCCTGAATGTCTTGATCAACGCCCACCAGGCAACACCGGGGAGCCCACCTGATGCTGAATTATAGATAAGACAGCCATGTATAATACATGTACAGAAACAACTGCTTTGCTGCACTCAAGAAGGCGAGCCAGATGAGACTCGGTCACAACGGGGAAATAAATCCAGCACTTTTCTTCTAATGTGCAGAGTGCTCAGGCTAGTCTATGAGGTTTAATAGGAAATAAGTTCACCGCAGTTAAATCTGTAATTTCTCCAGGTGACTGTATAGAAGTGAGTAAACACGCTCTCTCTGCATGGTCTCAACAGGATACAAGCCTCTGCCAAGTTACCCAAAGGCGACACCTGTCCAGCTGCCACCTTTTAGCGAAAGCCAGTGACAACACGCCACAGCGTTGAATCCTTTAACATGCACTCACAGGTACACACACACACAATCACACACACACATAGGGGGCCCAAGCTGACACTCTCACAGATGGTATGAAACACTGGCAGAGGTGTGAGCGGACAGCCAGCATGAAACAGATGGGTGCAAAATGCGGAAATGAAGAGGTAAAAATCAACACACACAGGCATACAATAAGCTCTTTATGCTTATATGAACAAAAACACACGCAAAATAAAAAACACACACACAATAGAGGAAGATACAGAGGGGTGGGAGGGAGGTACAGCCACCCTCGGACTTCAAGGCAGGGATTCCAAAAAGCACGCTCGATTTCGTCACAAGCCTGTAGGTACGATATAAACAAAATGAATTAAAGAGAAGAAAATACTAAAAAAATAAAAGGAGACGGATGAGCACGTAGAAAAGCTGAGCTTTCGCACACAGATCGAACGTTCCTGTTGCTCCCACTGTAAAATGGATACCATCAGTTTTACAGTCACAGTGCTGATTGTCTGATTTATTTTCTCACTTCTTCCCCTGGCTCTCTGT